TGTCCCTGCGACTGCCCGGCCCGGGTCCCTCCTCGGGTGGCTGCAGTCGGGCACCGCCAGCGCACGGAAGGAGCGGGTGGTAGGCAAGCGGGGGCTGACGGCGTCGTTCTTCGGCCCTTTTCTAGGAATGGAGAAAATTAACTTCTCGGGAGGGGAACCGTTTCTTCAGGACCGAGGCGAATTTGTAGGCAAACTGGTCCAGTTTTGCAAGCAAGAGTTGAAGCTACCAAGCGTCAGCATTGTCAGCAACGGCAGCCTGATCAGAGAGCGGTGGTTCAAGAAGTACGGTAAGGAAAAACCACTGGGGACAGAAGCACTGCTGGGGTTTGGGAGCCTCCTCGGGGCAGCCGCACCGAACGATGGTCTTTGGTGCGAGTGGGAGACAGTTTGTTAGTGCTTCATTTACAGTAAAAACAAACCAAACGTAAATACCAGTGAAATATTGTTAATTATATGTTGTGAATGTAGGGGGTACTTTGTACTATGGCCTCTTTGGTATAATAGTATAATAAAATCGTAACTCAGACTGTCTCCATGATGCTGGACACACACACACAAGATACGTGTTTTGATGTGGCTGCTGTGGTTTCACAGAACTGTATTTGCATGGCACTTGGTGACAGAACATGAGGGAGTGAAAGTGGGCGGAGTCCTGACAGCTTTTAACTGAAGGACTGAGTACTAATCAATTTTTAAAACTTTTTTTCAGGTGAATATTTAGACATCCTGGCAATTTCATGTGATAGTTTTGATGAGAATGTCAACGTTTTAATTGGCCGTGGTCAAGGAAAGAAGAACCATGTGGAAAACCTGCATAAACTGAGACAGTGGTGCCGAGATTATGCTGTTGCTTTCAAAATAAACTCAGTGATCAACAGATTTAATGTTGAGGAAGATATGAATGAACAGATCAAGGCACTCAACCCTGTGCGCTGGAAGGTAAGAACGTGCTGTATACCATAGGTTTCCTGTTCAGAGAAAAGTAGTGATGAAGTTCTGGAGTTGTCTGAACCTCTAATGACCTCAGTCAGATCTCCAGCTCCTGCTTGGGCTAGCATTAGTGGACTTTTTGTCTAAAGTTTCTTGTCTAAACCCCTTGTTGACTCTGCGATGCAGTCTACCTCCACAAACCCCTGTGGTCTCAAATTCCAGCAGTGCACAACCTGTTGCATATAAACAATTTTCTTTTATCTGTTTTAAACTCTCAACTTCAGAAATTTATCTAAGTGCACAGTCGTATAATGTAGATAAACAGCTGTCTGAGACACGTGGCAGGAATTACCTAAGTTGAAGGCTACAACTGCCCAAAAGGAGGCTGTAGTGAGGTGGGGGTTGGTCTCTTCTCCCAAGTAACAAGCAATTGGATGAGAAGAAAAACAGCCTCAAATTGCACCAGGGGAGGTTTAGATTGGATATTAGGAAAAATGTCTTTACAGAAAGGGTTGTCAGGCACTGGAATGGGCTGCCCAGGGAAGTGGTTGAGCCCCCATCCCTGGAGGTATTTAAAAGATGGGTAGACGAGGTGCTTAGGGACATGGTTTAGTAGTGGACAGGTATGGTTGGACTCAACGATCTTTAAAGGTCTTTTCCAACCGAATGATTCTATGATTCTGTGATTCCATGATTTGAGGTTCAATCAGATGTTAATTTGAGCTTTTATTTTCTGTGCACTTAAGACCAGAGTAGCTAAGATTTCTGTGGAAACCTGGTCAGAAACCAGGACTGTGTAATTACATTTAGAACTATGTAATGTTAATTTGCTAAAAATAAATCTGCACCGTGCCCTTCATATAGTATTCACTTATCACAATTTGTGTCAGTGTGGCTCCACTGACAGAAAAATTAAAGACATCGCTACTGAGACAACCGAAGGTTTTTGTCATGGTGACAGTCTCTTATACTCAAGGCAAGTGAAGACATCAAGTCTTGACCAGGTGCCTTTTGTCTTCAGGTATTCCAGTGCCTGATCATCGATGGGGAGAACAGTGGTGAGGATGCCCTGAGAGAAGCAGGGAACTTTGTTATCAGTGATGAAGACTTTGAACAATTCCTGCATCGCCACAAAGATATCTCCTGTTTGGTACCGGAATCTAATCAGAAGGTAAAATTGATACTGTCCATTTGTGACTTTATTTTGAAATCAAGTTGGAAAGGTGGAAAAGAACTAGAAGCTTTCATGGCAATTAATGCTTTCCCTATTAGTATTGGCTTAGAAGAGGTACAGTACAACTTTGTCAGCAACTGGGTTTGTTATGGTAGAGGTCAAGGTTTTTAATTTAAGGCCTTTGCAATTGGATAGCTCTTCCCCACCAGGGCACAAGAGCCTGAAAAAGCTTTGAAGGAATACTCATTTTTCAGTAGAATGGAATTTTGGTTTGTATATTAATTTATTTTTTTCTTTTGATCTATTACAGATGAGGGATTCATACCTCATTTTGGATGAATATGTAAGTCTTGCGATGCTTGGTGTTTCTATGCTAATATATGTACATATACAACAGTGATAACCAATCCTATTTACTGTGTACTCTAGAAAATAATTTTACCATGTAGTACAAGGAATAGATGTAATTTTTTTCCCATCAAACATACTGGGAACTTGAATTTAAGTATGACCTAAGGAGGAGTTGCCATCAGGTTGCATGCATGATCATCGCATCATGATGTATATCTTTGCAGGATGTCTTTGCTGTTTTTCTTTATAGATTAAAAATGCAGAACTTGTCCTGAAAGTTAAGTGTCAAAGAGCCTACTTAGTTTACATGTAACTGAAGAGGAAACATTTAATCTTCAGGAATTATGGCATGGCTTTGTTCCTGCTAAGATGTGTCAGTGTGTCTAACTGTGAACTTCTGAGCCTTCTAAAGACTGCAGTGAAACCATTCATGCACTTCCATATGCTTTTGTGGGATTGCAGTGCAACTTGTTTCATTCTATAGAAAAACTAAGCTTTTACAAATTGCCTTTCTAATGTCTTATTTATTGATGTTCCAGATGCGTTTTCTAAACTGCAGAAATGGACGGAAGGAGCCTTCCAAATCTATCCTAGATGTTGGCGTAGAAGCAGCTATAAAATTCAGTGGATTTGATGAGATGATGTTCCTAAAAAGAGGAGGAAAGTATGTGTGGAGTAAAGCCGACATGAAACTGGACTGGTAACCCGATACACTGAGTTGGGGCAGGTGCATTATGTAAAGAAAATGGGTGTGTATATATGTATATATGTATTAATCCTTTTAACTACACTTGGTATATTATATGGATCGATGTTCAGTATTATTCCATATGTGAATGTGTTAAATGTTTTTAAAATGTAGATTATGTTCTTATCTATTTTTCGGTCGAACATTTCTAAGTACCTACAGAGCTTTCACATAAACAGACCTCTGAAATCGACTTTCTCGTCCATCGTATGAGGGACTTAATGGCAGACCATTTAGGCAATGTCACACAGGGAACGTTTTTAAGATAAAACATAAGTGTGCATGCCAGAAACCAAACGAAACCCCACCCTGATCTCTAATTCATTATGAACAGCTGTAATGATACGTAAGTGGAAACGCTTATCAGGGAACGTATTCTGCCTCGGTCGTATGGAAAGGTAGCTTGCAGTTCCTGACTCGATCACGAGAGGGCCAGCTGGCAGTCCTTTGCAAGCAGCCCCTGCCGCCTTCAGGGGTAATAAGAGGGTCAGAATCTAGCAATCATTATCTGGAACAATATATTTACAGGGAAATCAAGATGAAAAAATTGGCAATTTTCATTCCTTAAGACTTAACTGTAAAAGCATCTGTTGTTCTCCTCACTCTCCTCCATATACACACATGATATTTGCAAAAAATGTTGGGGGATGTAATTTTCTGTGAAAATGTGTTTTTAGTCATGGAAAAAATACTATATTTGTCCTAAAACGTAAAAGTGCATTTTACCCAGTGATGACCAACTTCTTATTTCAGATTGGCAATGACCTTAGTTCTAACAAATATTTAGAGTGAAAACAAGGTTTGCATTTTATTCATAACTTCCTCCATTTTCCTTTTCTCTGCAAATATTGATTTAAAATTTTTAACATTTTTTCTCTCCCCATATATACAGTTCTGATGAAGATCCCTTCTGAAATTAATTAATCCCACGTAGCACACCTAATATGTATCTTCTGTGGCATGCTGGCTGTGTTATGCCGCATGTTTTTTATTTTGCTAAGCCATGGAATACAAAAAACAACATTCATATATCATGTAACCTTGCTTTAATGGTTGCTTGGCTCGGTAATCGTTCTTACGTGCTGGTTACAAACATGCAGGTATTAAGTGAAACAAATTGGGTGTTGTGATAGCTGCCTTTGATTTTAAGAGCTGGCAGCATCAGTATAAAAAAGACAAAAGTCAAAAACCCCTGCAAAACCAGTAATCTAATATGCTGCCCTTGTTCTTGGCTTTCTGGCAATTTTTATGGCTTTATAATTACAGTTTTCTAAATTTAACTAGTCCCATCCGCCCCAAAGCTCTGTATGAATAAGATAAGCATTGTACAAAGCAGAAGTGAGCTGGCACTACTCATTCTTACTGTCCCTTCAACTCAATGCCTGGACTGTCTCACACGTTTCAGTATTTGCAGCAGCTGGGAGCCAGGATGCATCAGATGTACCATGTAGCGAAAATGACACCTTCTGTCCTTTTTCTGATAATGCTAGCTTATTTTTTTTTTAAAGAGTATTTCAAGAGAAATTATTTGCATTCACCTAATGCTTCCTCAAAGTTGAAGGGGAAAGCACATTAAGTAGGAGCTGCTACTTCTGAATAAAGGAAGGTGCATCTCTGAATGCACTGTGAAAATGTTTCCATTTCTAATTCCTTCAGTTTCTATTTTTACGACCCTAAGTGTATATATACTGTCTCAGCGGTGCTCTTTTGTCGCTTTGTATTTTGCATTTTGCAATCACAACATTTCCTAGACACTTAAATTTAATTTTTTTTTCTTGTATTGATACTAAGTGACATTTAAAATGTGGCCCACACACATTAACCCCACAGTCTTTTGGCAGCTGTTTCGCTGACCTCCATTGGAGTTCTGCCTGAGTAGCAACTACGGGCAGCGCAAATTTATGTAACTGTGGGGTTTGACTTCCTCTGCGTTCCCATTGCTCAAACGTTAAACTGAGCCTCTTCCTCAGCATCTATGCTGCGTGATAGAAAAGAAGCATTTTCCTTTGCTGCTGGCTCAGTCCCAGCATGGGGAAAGATTTAGTGCATGAATGTACCACTAAATCTACCAGCTTGCTGCTTCTGCAGAAAATGCCAGCTGTATCCCAGCACGCAGATGTGAGGTGCACAAGCTCCCATTCAGATCCAGAAATCCTGCCATTCTTTGCTTTGCATTTTTCTCTGTAAACGGCTATTCTTTCACTGCAAGAGATCCTCTGTGCCTGCGGAGGAAGCTGCAGGGTGAACAAACTGGAGCTGAAAATGTGAAAATCCAATAAATAATGTAAAGACATTGAAGATGTTTTTTTACCAGAAGGTTCTAAGTTCTTATTTTCTTAAAATCTTGAGGATTTTACATCGCCCCTTGCTACCATACATAATTAAGAAAAAGTTTCTGCTCTGTGTGATGCTGTTTTCCAAAGGAAATGCTGGTCCTGTACATTGGAAATGAAGATTTTGACACAACACAGCTGACAGACGGTCCCTGAAGTTAAAGACTAGCTATTGGTATTTTTATATGCAAAATTCACTTTTGAGTAAAATCTCAACATTCTTTTTGGCTACAGCTTGATTAACCTAGTTTTTTTAATCTATGAACACAGTTCACGTTGGAAGAAAAATGGCCTTCAGGCTTTCATGCTTTGGGCCTAACTTTCAGCACAGGACTAGAAAAATAATACTGAATTCAGTAGAGCTACTCCCAAACTTAGAGGTCACACGCACATTGTGATCCTGAAGAGTCAGGATGTAAATTTAAGTCCTGTAAACAGAGACATGCTTAATTGTATTTTCATGTGTAATCTCATGGTATTGCAGCTAAGCACTTCTGGAAGATGCTGAATTGGGAAGGAACTTACACTGTAGTTTACCAGCTTTCTGCAGCTGCTCATATTTGTAAAATTTGTAGAGAATAAGCGTTTGGGAGAATGAGTTACTTCAGTTAAAATCATCATGAATATACCTTGAGTAATGAATAAAACTGTTGTTTAAGATGCATTTTAAATGCCCTCTTTTTCAGTGTGAAGGATGCTTGATATATTTGAATATTACAAATGATGACTTTGCAAATATACTGTCACATAATTAGTGCTAAATATTTCATGAGTGTGTTGCACATTTCAATAAATGTTTCTATTTTCTTAAGTTCGCCTGTAATTTCCTTTTTTTTTTTTTTTTTTAAATATAACCCAGAACCATAATAGCAGAATGTGTGGCTGCATTCACAAGGGATCTGCAATTCTGGATGCAGTCTGTATTTAGTGGAGGGGGCTGCTTGCGTGGTGCCAAGGGCAGCATGGAGGCTGAAATGGAGAACAGTGGTGGCGATTCTGCTGGTGGTGAGCAGCATTCGTTACACGCTTGAGCGGACTGGGCTGTGTTGGGAGAAGACTGTTAAAATACCTTGTGCTGTTCAGACGACAGCCATTACGAAAGACACAACTCTCCATAAATATCTGAGGAGAAAAAAAAAATTAATCTTCTGGTATGGTAAATAAGAGACAAAAGCTAGTCAGTTTAGAGGAGGGGTAAAGACAAGTGGCTTCTCGAGCTCATCTCCTGTCTTCAGGCTGCAGTAATAAACTCCTGTGGTAGACAACCTGAAATGGAGCTTTTCACAGTAATCGGTTGTGTATGTGGGGAGCTTTTTTTCCCCCTCTGCAAGGTTTTTTTCCTGCATGTTCTAGTGGAGCTGAGGTGCCCTGGAGCAGAGCCGCAGCGCGATGCTTTACGCCTCCTGCCTCCCCGCCTGCCTTCACCGACCCCACGACCTCCGCAAGGTGCCCCCCGGGGCCTGCTGTCTCGTGTCACCCCTGCTGCGGCTCGGGCAAGGGCGCAAGCCGCGTTTTGCCTAAATCAACCAGACAGCTCCTATTCATCTCTCCAGCTCAGCGTGTTCCCTTTTGTGTCTCCGTGCATTCCAGAAGCAAGCCGGTCGCCCTTCCCCGCAAGCAAGGCAAACCCTTCTGCCCCCCAGCTTTGGCAAAAATCCGTCCCTCGCTGCTCCCCTCCTGCCGCTGAATGACCTGCTGGCCCGGGGGGGGTCACGCCAGGACGGCCCGAGGTGCGATTCCTTAAACCAAAACCCCAATAAATTAGGGGACAGGAAAACGGGCAGCACGGCACGCC